TTAATTAATAGATTACTGAAGCAGGTCCCAGAGGCACTATGGGCTCCTATAGTGTGTCAATGTGACAAATACTCTCATAAGGAATACTTAGCCCTTCACTAGGTGAATCCCGTTTTAATTTGGAATTAAGTTAGTGGCTAAGACATTCATAAGTAGGTTAGACTGGGTGATAGATAGTATACGGTCTAGTGAGAACGATTAGTGAATCTCGTATTATAGCATTACTTTACCCTTTAGTTATAGTACCCCTATATTAACTAACCCTTAACATGGTCACACCCATTACTTTCACTAATAAGGCCATAATAAGATCTCAGTTCTTAAAGGGCAGAACTAAGAAAACTACTTAGCTAAATAAAAACACCATTATTCACTTTAATGACCTAACAGAAGAAGGCAGAAAGATCGCTTTAGAGAAGTTACACCGATATAAAGCTAAGTAATCTATATCTTCTCTATCTTAGGAGTTAAACTTAACCTAGTCTAAGAAACCTTATTAATCTTAATTATAAAGGTTAGAAGATTAAAGACCTTATATCATGGCATTTTTTAGACTTAATTTCATTATATTAGTTATCCTTACCTTCTTAGTACTAACTATAAATAAGGATAAAGACCTAGGCCTTATCACTAAGCTTTAGCTTACTAATATAAATCTAAATCGATTGAAACTCCTTTCTAAGGATAAGAACTAAGTATTTAATTTCACGAAGTAGAATAAATACACCTTTTTACTAGGGGGCGTAATTAATACTAACGTGGCAATCTTTCCTATAACTATTAGTCTTAACTTAACCCTAGTAAGCTCTTAGTTAATCGTTAACATTATAGTTAGTCTTCTATCTAATATAATAAATAGGTAGTGCTTAATCTCGGTCCTTATACAATACTACTATCTTATCTTTATTCATGTGAAGCTAACTTTGTGATAGCGATCTTTAGCATCACTTAAACCTATATAATTAATGAAAATAGGGCTTAAATAGTTTAAGTCACTCTCTAGTCTAGCTAGATAACTATCTTCCTAAAAGGGTCTATCTATATAATAATAAACATTAAATATAATAATGCCTAGCTTATCTCAGCCTTAAATAGCGATAATACTAGTACCCTAAACGTAGCTAACTCCTTCTTTAGTCTTCCACAGAATATCTTCAGTACTGTTATGGGCAGAGAAGTTAATGTTAGTAATATTAATAGTAAGGTGTCTAATCTAGAGATAGGTACTAACTCCAGCCTATAAGAATATCTAACTATATATGCGGCCAGGATAAATAGAACTCTAAGCCATGACTAAATGCTATGACTAGGTTTTTAGCCACTAAGATAAGATTCTAGGTTACGGCGGCAGTGAAATAAAGGTTATTTATTTCGTTCAGTTAAAAGCATATTAAAAAGAGAAAAAAATGACAAAAAAGTTAGGGTGATAAAATAGTTTATCTTATAAGGATAAGCATAAGACCTAAATAGTCTAATAGTGTCATTCTCTATCTTATTCCTTATGAAATCCTTTTTTATCCCTATAATGCACGCTATAGTCACACCATATCATTAAGCTCTTACCACGTATATTATCATAATTCCTCACTAATGACGCCTTACCAAGCCTATATAAAGCCTTTATCACGTGTTTATAACGTTAACTAGGTTATAATAAAGCCTATTTTACTTAGACTCTATAAAAGTATAAGTATCACTAAGAATTAAGAGTATAGTCTATCCTTACTTTACTCTATACTTTTATGGAGGGCAATAATAATATACTATATCTTAAGTCTCACAAATCGAACTCTAATAAGAACCATATAGGTAAAGCTTCAGGCCGTTTTAGCTAATTTAGCGGTTAATATGTTCCGAAAGCATTAAAAGAGTCCTTAATCAAACTTAAAGAAGCATTTATGCAAGCTAAAGAGGACGTGAATTTTTGGAAGGAATGGAGGGCTTTCTCCGCGTACATGGGATAACCTTTATCACTTTATCACGCCTATAGACTCACTTAATAAGTAGGTAGTGCATAAATATACCTCAAATAAGAAGATCTTAACTATACAGGGAGCTTAGCCATTAATAATACCCTTAATTAGGCCTTATTAGCTAGAAGGCTAGGGAAATAGTGATTAATCATGTAAATAGGATTTAGACAGCATAATGTTATAATAACTACTATATACTTAAAGCTCGCTCTTAATTATACTGTCTATATAGGCATTATAAATATATAACAATAAAGTGTTAATATGATTAACATAAAAATACTAGGCGTAAAAGTCATAATAGTTAGTAGATATATTAATACGCTACGTAATATAATGAATAAAGCTTTAAGAGTTAGTATTTATAATCTAAATAGGTCTTTCTACGCGATAGAATTTAGCATTAAACCTTATCCTTATCTAATCATGGTGCGCACGTTCTAAAGCGTGATTAGACAGGAAACTAAAGACTAAATAAAGAACCTTACTAGTTACTTACCTTATATAGTAGTCACTTATGCCGAAGTATCTAACTCTGTTAGTATGTTCTTTCTGTTCAGGTTAAATCCTAATGTGAATCTTATTAGCATTAAGACTACTAGTAATGGTATTAATATCACTAAACACTCTGCAGCCTTAGCTAGTAATGCGGTTAGTATCTACCATGGTGTAATAATATACCTTATACAGAATAACTATAAGTAAATTAACACTTTATCTTTGATTATGGCTAGGCTGAACTGTTTAAGAGTGAGACCAAAACTAGCGTACTAAAAAGATAGTGCTAGGGCTAGCTTTATTATAGTTATAGATAAGTAAGTACTTATTACCTTCTAAACAATAGCATAAGTGAAAGGGATTATTCCTTCTTTAGAAATGAGTTATGCTATATAGGCTAGTATAAAGATAGCTAGGAGCATAAAATTAGAGGAGACCTTAGTTATTTATCTCAACAGAAAAGGAGATAAAGATTTATAGGTTATAGTTAATAGATTACGATCCTAAAGCAAACCAAAGAATTAAACAGCCTAGCTTAGTATAGTACACCTAAGGTCCCGCGAACTAATATAGCTTAGTGGCCTCCTTTAGAAGTTCCTCTTAAACCATGCCAAAACGAGCATAATAGATAGCCCTGTGACTTACGTTTCAATAGATCGAAGCTGCTTAACGTGGTTCAATGGATCTAAGCCCTAGTAGGAGCCAAAATCTCTAAGTTAATCGATTATTCCATAGGCGGCAGCTACGTTCTGTCTAATTCATAATTAGTAACTTAAACAGTTCTTATAATAAAAGTCTTAAATATCTGGCCCTATATAGTCTAGTATTTCACAAAAGTCCTTAATATTAAGGAATGGAAGCCCTTTAAAGATTTGCATGTCTTAAGTGTAATTACTGAAGCGGTCGCAGTGGTCCTGTATAATGTCGTTCCACCCTAGCCTCCCATTATAAGTGGACATAATTAGGTTCTATATCATTCTATGACCCTAACCTAGAATGAATAGATCTCCGTTCGCGCGAGATAAGTAACGTAAAGCTTATATACTAGCCAGTTAGTTATAAGTAAACAGAGTTCTCACAATCGCATCATAGAGCACTCTTAGCTATTTGTCTGGTGAGCCTTATATAAAGCGGGGGCGTTTACCGTCCATGTACAAAGAGTTATTAGTGAGGAGATAAGATTATTCCATTCACTAAAGACCCTCTAAGGTTCAGTGTATAAAGTTAGGGTCATTAAAGTCAGCGAGTTAAGCATGACTTTTTGACCACCTAAAGACTAGGCGAAATAACTTCTATACTAGTCGCAAGTATTAAAAGCTCACTTCTATGATGTCATAGGGGCGAGATCAACTTGAAGATAGGTTAAAAATTTAAGCGTTATTAGCGTTATAGAGATGGTTCGTAATGCTGTTCTTATAAACCCTGGAAAGAGAGAGAGAGGGCCACACATCCAGTCTCCACACGCGAACTTTCCACTTGGCCCTACCACCATAGAGATCCATGCTCCATGAATCCTTCACAGCATCGTGAAGGAAGGCGGCCCGGAAGGTGAGCCGCCTGTGTAGATTTGGATGCCGTTGCATGATTGAAGAGTTCGGAAATCTTTTCTCATGCCGCTCCAGATGTCGAATGATCTCCAGGAGAATAAAGGTGGTCCATCCAAAGTCGTCATAACCTTGTGTAAGATACTGAAGGAGAGTCCATACGTTCAAGGACCGGGACACCACCTTGCCTAGAATATCGTCGCATTCCTCTTGGCTTTCGTTCGATCCCATCATGTCTAAGTAGCTAATCACGAGCCGACTGGCGTTGTCTCCAGTCCAAGTGCTGGCCCCCTTCCAATTATTTCCCTTCCAGTATCTCTGGACAAAGTCACGGCATGCCAGATCGAATGTCGAGTTCGGGGTGGTTGCTTGACTCCCGACAAGAAATGGGCTCAAGCCCATCACTACGGTGAAGAAGTAGGGCTTCATGGCCTTGAAGCGACCAGCTTAAATTTGGACCAGGGAAGATTGTTGACTTATGATTCGGCGGAATGGAAAGTGGCCAACATATATATCAGCCCTGTTGCGGTTCGCCCCCTATTTCAGTTCCGAACCCTACTTCTCTTCCTGTATCGCCGGCTAACGATGCGGTCTGTGCTCCGACAGCTCAACCTATCTGAGGCACTGGGCCCACCATGTCTGAGATTTCGATATTTGGTGTTGATTGCGTTCGTATCTGCCATAGGTACCCACCGTGCCATATGTCCTCATCGAAAAGAATCTAACGGTTCCGGGAGATCAAAGGCTCTTTGTATCCTACGGAAAGGCTCTAGCTGCCGGGGGTCCTGCGCCTTTGCTGTTGACCGAAATGTCCTGCTGCGTCATGACACATTGTGCCGTCCTTGCGGTGGCTGAGATGAGGGCGTACCAGCCGACAGGCTCGTTCATCACTTTTGCGCACCACTACGTTGATCCGGCGTGGTCGTTCACGATTGGGTGGCTCTATTTTTTTCACTGCTTTACCTTGATTCCACAGGAGTCCATCATGGCAGCCCAGTCGATGGCGATGTTCTACCCGGCGATCGACTTCGCAACGTGGTTAACACTTTTTGTGCTTCTACTTCTGGTCATATGGTTCCTCGGAACGACGAGGTTCGCACAGTTTTTGACACTACTGGGGCTTTTGAAGCTCATGATAATGATTGGCCTCAGGTTAGTTGCTATCGTTGTCCTCTTAAGAAGCCCACATAACGTCTTTTTAGTGTGTTCGCAATCTCTCTGATCAGTCGAAAGGGCCAACCACCGGAATACAGCCCTTTCAGAAACTGGCATCATCCCGGAGCATTCAATGGAGGAGCGTTTGGAATTGCGGCTACTCTATTCTTCTCGGGTACGGTACGGAATGGCCTGGACATTCTCAGCCTAGGTGTTCGAGAGTCGAGTCCGTCGTCTACCAGATATCGGTCCGGATGTCACCTGCTAGTCTGGAGTCTGGCTGCTCTCCGCTCTTTTAATGCCGTGGTTGCTGGAGTGAGTGTGCCGTTCACTGATTTACGGCTCATAGACCTCACGTCGCTAAACCCCATTAACTCTTCTCCTGTTGCTATCGCCATGAAGACCTATGGAGGGCCTAGTTTCACCTTGATATTCCTGCAGATTGGTAGTATCATGACACGGTTCACAGCCGCCTCGTCGGCGATCTATGGATCCTCCAGGGCGGCTTCTGAGCTTGCTGAGCAGAAACAAGCACCTAATGCTCTGCTTGTACGGAATGACAGTGGTCGCGCAGTATCATGTTTTGTCATTGCTGCTCTCCCGGCACTTTTGAGCTTCATAGCGCTGTCGGAATATGGCAAGTCCGTTCTCGTCTATGCCCCGGAATCCAGTGGCACTCCAATGGTTTTTGTCTCCTTGACTATATTCGTCGCACATCTCAAATTCTCGAAGGAACTTCGAAGGCGGAGACAAAACCCAGTGAATAATTTCCATGGAGGCTTCATAAGCGAAGCAAGTTCTTGGTTTGGAGCTTCCTTTTGCTGCGTCGTGGTCCTCTCCCAGCTATGGACCGGGCTGGGGCCAACAGTGTACGGAGATGTGCTCTCGGTCGAAATGGATGCCAGTACTCTCCGGTCCTATCTTTACATCCCGATCACAGTAACAGTCTACCTTGGCTACAAGCTTTGCCGACAAACCCTTAGGCCCATGGGGTAATTAAATAGTCCTAATGACTATTGCCTTAGGTGATCCCAATTTCGTATCACCGCTGGTGCTATGAGAGTAGTTACCGCGTCCAATACCAGGTTAACGAAGCGCGTTAAGCGAATACTAAAGCACCCAAAATTCAAACTACTGCAGAGCCATGTCTGTAAGTTACTTATATCACCACACATTCTCTTTTATCTTCGCCTTCGTCACCAGCCAAGTTTACCTTATTAACATTCGCTACAGTAGGCTGTGAATATAGCTCACCATATCTCTTACACTTAAACGCTCTAAATAGATTTTAAAGAAAAGACTCCTATTATGAAACTTTAATAGCAGCCTAAAAACACACCTTTAATCTATTAATATTCTTCGCCAATTCGCTCTATATCTCTTTACAGTAATATGTTAGTGCTTAATAAAGTATATACTAGTATATATACTACTATCACATTATAGATAACTCTCTCTTACTAGTGAATTTATTTTCGACACTATAAGAGTACTTACCATTATAACTATCTTATAATGTCTAAAGTAAGAGTGATTTAACCGCTTATAGAGTAGCAAAGAACTTTAATACATTAAACTTAAGTGTGACCTTTAGCGTGCTGTTTCCTTTAAACATTATAAGAAGCTTAGAAAAATAGAGAGTAAGTTCCTAAAGGTTACTTATAAGCTGTAATAACTCCTTTAACTTATTTAATAAGTATATATCTATCTTTTCTAAATTCTTAAAATTTAGTTTAAGGTCTTTTACATAACTAATAGTGATTATATTATTCAATAGAGAATCTAAGTTCTAATAATTTATATAGCGATTAATATATAGTTTTATACCATTATATTATTACTTATTAATGATAAGAATTAAAGGGTAAAGAAAGAATCTATATCCTTTAGAACTAATAAATCGAAACCTAAAGCTAAGGTAAGCCTCATAAATTTTAATTTATATTTCAAGGGGAAGTGCTTTAAATCTTAATAAGTCTAGAGACTAGCATTTTTATAAAGAGAATTTAATAAATTAAACACTGCATTTAGGTTTCCTTATGTCTATTTATTAATGAGAGATCTTTAAGCAGCTTTAAGAGAATAACCTTAGAGTTATTAGGTCTCTAGACGCCCGCATATTTAAGAGATTAGTTAAAGCCTTTTAGTAATAAAAAGTGAGAAAGTGTTAGGATAAGCTAAGTAAGCGAATAGAGATAAGTAGTAATAAATACTTAGTAGCTAGTTAAAAGCTATACTAAGTTTAAATAGCTATATACTACGTTAAAGCATGGTAGTAATTACTTATATCTTAGGGCTATACTTAGAGAATAAAAGGCTAACGTGTAAACGTTATGTTCATTAGCGGTTCAAACATAAATGCATTATGTATTTATGTGGTAGCCACACTATAGTATCTTAGAACCTAAAACTTCCATATATATTTATAATAACCTTAGTTAGTGAATCATAGTTACTATACGCGAAAGTAAGCATTAGTGATCTAAATAGGGATTCTATTAAAGAAATAGGTCTATAGTTAGCGTGCTTCCTCTACATTTAGTGCTAATCTTCCGTATATATTAATTATTATTAGCTATTCAGGATACCATTATAAGATTCTAGAGAACTTTTATTATTAATAAACCTAAAAAACGCTTCTAGATAGTGCGCTTTTAGTTTATTCCTTTTCTAAGTTTAATCCTTATCTAAGTTAGGCTAGTAAATATCTTTAAATGAGAGAACTCTCTATCATAAATATAGATCTTAGTTAATAAAATATAGTAGTAATATAGGATATTTAGGAAGTACGCTCTTAATTATAATTAGTAAGGCATAAGCTAGGGTAAATAACTTTTTTCCTTATGCTCGGAAAGTACAGTATAATAAGATCTTATATAAGGTAATAAAAGGTTAAGTATATATAAGCCCTTTTATCATTAGAAGATAAAAGCTTACTTAGTCTTAGCTTAGAATTCTATTAAGTATAATAGGAACACACCTAAAAAACTTATAATTTTATATAATTAGTTAATTACAGAATAAGGTTTTATAAGAGGCTAAAGTAAAAAAAGTCTCTCTTTCGAGCGGAGAGAGTTAATAATAAAGAGTTATAACCTATTACACTATAAATTAGCTAGCACTTCACTTCTATCTCTTATATATTACTCCCTAATATAATACTTATAACTTAAGTAAGTTATATACTATACTCTCTAAGCGGCTTAGGCGTAAGATATAAAGTCTAGAATAAATGTTTAGTAACTATAGAATCTTATTATAAAGGGGTTTTCTTATAAATATCTTACTATTAGAGTGACTACCTAATTACTATACACATTAAGAAAAATTAGTAGCTAACTTTCCTTCTCTCATAGTAAAATAATAAGTAAGAAAGATAATAAATAGACTTTTAGTATTAGAAACGTTAGGCCTAGTGTATAAGGCAGAATAATAGAGAGTATACTCTCTATTAAGATTTTTAACCTAAGCTTATATCTAGAGCTCTAGTTCTCTCACTAAGGTTTATAGCGTAAATCTTATCTATAAATTAATTATATTTTAGCTAATAAAAGTAAGTAGTGCCTATCACCCTTAATAAGTTATCCCTTTCTCGCTGTGACTAAATGTCTTAGACTTTCACTCATTACTATCTATACTGACTTAATATTATGGAATTTTAAGTTTAAGCTCTCTAGCTATAATCTAACTAATCCTAAGTATCTATAAGCGCTAACCATAATAACTAGTATAAAGGATAAAGAATGGTTCTATATAATCTCTATCACCGCTAAAGTATAGAGCGAACCTTTAGTGATAACTACCTTACACTATTTAGAAGCCATAACTAAACGTAATAACTTTAGCGTTCTCTTCACTATTAAGTCAATCGCGAACAGTATTTAAGATCTAACTAGATTATTATTAAGAATTCATGAGCACTATAACCCTTAAGTCTTTTATAAAAAGATTTACTCTATACTCTTAAGGACTAAGGTCTTCTTCTTTAGCATTTTACCTTAAGATATACTTTATAATCTTAGAGATAGCTATAGTTTATAGCGAAAGAATAGTAAAGATAGTAACGCATAAAGTACTTTAATCTAGTTATTTAATATTTTTGTGGGAGTTCCTTATTTTAGAAGGGATAAGACGCAGATAGAAATACCTTCTGTTATACTACCTTCTATACCTAGTAGATTCCTTAAGGTATGTATCTACTACCTAGAGCTTAGTATATATAGAAGCTTATAGCACTAATGGCCTAACTTAGGAGATATAATTCTATATGCTATAAGAGTATCACGAGTTCCTTATCCATATCGCACAGTTAGGTAGTTTAAGGAGATACGTGACGAAGTGCACTGCCGATATAGATATGTATTAAGTGTATAATGACATGGTTAAGGCTTTAGTGAGCTTTCGTAGCGTTCATATTTAAATTACCGCGCGGTTCATTATTTAGCTATCTAAAGGGCTGCTCTATTTCCCGCCTAGAGATTTGCGACGAGCTGATCTAGGACTAGTAACTTGACCATGGTCACCACCTAATGAGAATGCAGCTCGTCCACATTTGCACAGTACCGAAGGCACTAACTTTATGTCATTTTTGAAAATGACGCGTGATGAAACACGACACGCTGTTATCACGTCGTTAGAGCAAGCCGGTGACCTTGACCGACTTACAGGAAAATAACCACCTCCGAAGTGACTAAATCTCTCGGCCGGCTATATTTTGCGAGAGTTTCCATTGCCCTAATGATGCAGTATGGAGATCATCTTGGGTTTCAAGGTAATCGTCCGCACAGAGAGTGTGCGTAGATTTAAATTGACCTCTACAGTATATGTTTCCTTGAGGCGCGTTCCTAGAAAGACTTAAAGGTATCGTGCACCAGACGACGATACTGTATCGTACTTTATTAGACTCCATGGTGGACACCACCATTCACACACATCGATAAATCTCCCGAGGACGCCATTAAGCGACACGATACCACGGACTCGCGAGCACTACGCGTATACACAGACGGCAGTGGCATCGACGGTCGCGTCGGTGCGGCGGCCGTTGTACTCAAGATGCCAGTGGCAGACGTCCTGGCAAAGAGAACGGAATACATGGGCACAACCACCAGCTGCACCGTATACGCAGCCGAGCTACGAGGAATTGAGCTAGCATTCCGGATTGTACTGGACATTCAGGCAAAGACAAACACAGCCGGCAAATGCGTCATCTTCACAGATAACCAAGCGGCCATCCAAGCGATGGCCAACCCTAAGAGCCCTTCTGGACAGTACATCCTCACAAAGGCTATACGAACGCTGGATCAGCTTCGGGATCGAGGATGGGAGGTCCAGCTCTCGTGGATCCCGGCACACGTAGGGGTGCCCGGCAACGAAGCCGCTAACCGAGCGGCCAAGGACGCAGCAGGTCTATCAAGCGCGACGCTTCGACCGGAGTCAGAATCACCCCGCACTCTGACAGCAACCGTAAAATCCACCATCCGACAGAGCGTGCGGATTGAATGGGAAAAATCCTGGGAAACAGCCAAACACGGACGAGAGCTCTTCAGGCTTAGAGTCCGGCCCAGGAAAGGAGTCCTAACCACACATGTAGGCACACCCCGAGCAATTAGCTCAGTCATCACACAGATACGCAACGGTAAGATCGGCCTACGCGTCTATCTCCACACCATTAACTAGGCCGGCACCGACCAATGCGAATGCGGCTACAGACGTCAAACGGTCCGACACATCTTGCTGGAATGCCGAAACTGGTGCGAAGAACGACAAAGAATGTGGGCAGGCATAACTCCATGCATAAGCATTAAGCAGGTTCTCTATAGCCCGAAAATTGCTGTCCGCGCAGCTAAGATAATGATCAGGACGGGACTACTGCAACAATTTCGAGCAGTTCTATCCACCATATTCTCACACACGTAGCGTAGACAAGTGTTTATCAGCAGATAGAAGTCGAGGAAGACCAGGACAGGTCGGACAAGTACATAGACATGGGTTAG